ATTTGCACTTTATGTGAGGTTGTCCTAACTGCAGAACACAAGATCCAGGGGGCGTGGTTGGATCCAGATCCAACTCCTCCCACCTTACATACACCTAAACCTACCCGTCTCTACCCCCTGATCCCTAAACCCACCCATGTCCAGCCCTAAACTTACCAATCTCCACCCCCTAGATGTGGATCCAACCACGCCCCCTGGATCTTGTGTTCTGCTGTGAGGGGCTACTGCTTTATATCGCCTTCACTGCAGAATGCATCTTCCACTTGTTTCCTCCTCATCTAATTCTTGGTTCACTGTAGAACAAGGATGCAATTATTAGGTTTAAATATACATGAAAAATATTTACATGAACAACTGAATACGTAAGGTGATCTGCAAGCCATTACTATTAAGGTGTGGAATCTAAAACACTTACATTTGACCGGTAAGAAAGGTTTATGTCCATTTTCTGCTACCATCTCCTCTATTTTCCGCAAGAGTTCAGTAACCTGTGACCTGTCGTTGTTGGCTTTGGTACAGTCCAGCACATGGTAACAGTTCCAGCAATGCTGCATCAGTTTCAGCAGCTCGCCTCCGTCTCTCTGGATGTGATCCTCAATTGATGTGCCATACAGCCAGTCGCCACATGAAAACAGCACCAGCGTGTGCTGACACGCCTCCTCGCCAAACATTTCCAAGTGGCTCTTAAGGGCCTGTCTCTTTTTGGGAGTGAGGGTGGAGACCACGGGGATGACTAATAAGAGCACGTGTGGACCAGGATGGAGTAGCCCTGCCCCCAGTTTGATTTCTCTTCGTATGTTGCTTGGTGTGCGCTGGACGGAGAACCAATCCCAACCTGGTGTGTCAACAACCGTGAGGCGCCGACCAGCTACCAATGCTTGATGGCGGACAGACACCTCAGTGGGGCGTCCTGATTCAAACACACGACAGCCCAGTAGAAGATTACCTGCAGAGCTCTTACCTGCTCCACGCCAGCCTACTAACAGCACTCGTAACTCTATTAAAAAAGAAAAGGTGGGAAATTGCGAAAAAGAAACTTCACATGATCTTAATGCACTTTACATAGTTTAATGGCCCATTCATCAGCATGATCATCGCAGTGTGTTTGCTGCTACGACCCACGTTTACTGACCAGCCAATAAAAATGCGACATGAAATCAACGCGACATGGCACAAAAACATAAAACCGCTTACCTCAAGCTGTTATCCCTTCCTCTTTCGCCACTTCCACTTTTTTTCAGCACACATAAAAACTCCAACTGCCAAAGTGTGATTCATAATGCTCTTTTTGTTTACCACTAGCGCATGCTGATGACGTTTTATTCTTCTATAGTAACATGCATCATAGCGTACGAGTCGGTAGGTGTCATCATCGTACAGTCTACATGCATGTCATACCCAAGTTTATTAGATCCATGTTGCACAGTGTGGTTTGGAGAGATCTTAAAAGATTGCTAAAATCAACCTTTGTGTTACGAGTCCGACTCTCTAACCATTAGGCCACGACTTCCCCAAAAGGGGACATTCTGCAATGCTACCATCAAACCAAAGGAAAAAAGAGAATGAAATAGACAATAACTCACCTCTTGGTGGAGATCTAAACATTGCTGCTGTTCTCTCCACTTCTGTACCTCTGTCCTCTTCTCTTTCATTGTCTGTTTCTTCATCCCCAAATCCAAGGTTTGGCCGCACCATTTCAAAGAACCAGCCTTGATTCTCCTGCACCATCTCCTCCACTTTCTGCAAAAGCTCTGCAACCTGAGCACTTTTGTCCGAGCAAGTGTTATTCAAGGCATGGTACCTACCGCCACACCTTTCCACCAGCCTCTGCAGCGCTGCCCCGCCATCCACAATAAATTCCTCCACACCCATGTCCTGTGGCAACTGGTCCGCACAGGTGAACAAAACCATTGTGTGCCTCCATATCCCCGCTCCCAATGCCCTAACTCGGGCCCAGAGACCTTGCCAGTGGTGTTCGGTGAACAGGACTCCAATGGGAACCACCAGCAGCAGGGCATGAGGACCAGGAGAACATCGATCAACGATGGACTGCTGATTCTCTGAGTCCATCTCGTCAGTTGAATCTTCGGTTTCCAGCTTCCATCCAGGAGTGTCAACAATCAGTAGTCGCCAGGTGAGTATGTCTACCCAGTGTTGTTGGTCTGTTTGGGAATTGTCAGTAGGGCTTTTCTTCTGGCTCAAGATGGTATTCAGTGTTGAGGTCTTACCGGAGCCCTGACAACCCAGCAACAGGAGACGCCGGATGGATAGAGAAGAGCCCTCTGCTTTTGAGAAATAGAGATGAAAGAGAAAATGATATAGTGAGTGACTGAAACTGCTTGCAGTTCAGTCCATGCTGAGTACATCCACAACACCCTGAGCATCCCTGGAGCATTTACAACTACATCCTGGTAACCTGCTGATCAGGTTGATACTACAGTGACGATGATTCCATATAAATTGAAAACTGGTACATGTAGTCTTGAAATATATAACCAGTCGTATGATTGGAAAATAACATTTATATCTGATGGGTAAGAAATGTTACTGTCCATTCTCTGCTACCATATCCTCGTCAAGGGTTCAGTCATTTATGCCCTGTCTCTGTTAGGTTTGGTACAATCCAACAGAGGGTAAGAGTTCCAAAAATGCTGCATCAAACCTAACCGTTATCCTTATGAGCTCATTTTAATGCTGATCCAGGAACAGAATGAATTACATTTTTGTGTGCATCTGCTTTTGTATGATGGCAAACTGATCTAGATACAGCCAAGACTTTCTAGTGTGCATTAGAAATCCCCTGATACACAGGAAGCGCATGTAATGCAGAAGGGAAGTGAGTCAGCTGTGTGTGTAGGTGGGATTTGAAAGTGAAAGACTGTCCGGCATACTAGTGAGATTAATTGAAATTAAAGTTTAGTGTCACTTACCAGCATTTAAATCAGAAGAGACTGTAGCCATCTTGTGTCTAGCTGGTGCGTCTCCTCGTCCAGAAGAGACTGTAGCCATCTTGTGTCTAGCTGGTGCGTCTCCTCATCTCGCTCTCTTTCTCCCCCTTTCGCTCTCTCTCTTGCTGTGTAGTCTCAGCAGCCAGTTGCCTGTGCTCAAAACATGTCCTTCTCCCCTCTCATCTCCCTCCTACTCTCTCGCCCTCCCTCTTCAACTGATTTAAAAAAAATTATTATACAACACCCTTGCACCCTTTCCCTTTGCTTCCTTTTCACCCTCTTACTTTCATGAAATGATACATTCAGGGACAAACAGCAGGAGGGAGCTGGGAGAAAGAAGCAAGTAGAGAGAAGAAGAGGGATGTAGGGAGGAGTGAAAAAAATATGTGGCTTGTGATTGTAATCTTATGAGAGCTAGTGGGCTGAGTTTGACAAATATTATACCGTAAGCAGCCTCCCACAATTCTTGGGTAGTAATTTTTAGGGTGGAGCAAAGGCTGTCATTAGACCAATGAAATCATGGAAGTATCAAGTTTAGCCCTGCCCTCCTGATTCTGCAGTCTGACCTAAACCCAGCAGCACTGAAACACTAGAGCAAGGGACACCAATGCAAAGAAAACATCTCTCTAAAACTGTAAAGTGTCATAAATGAAGTCAGAAAAAGCATTCTTATATTATACAGCAGTATGGGGAGTACAAATTAGATAAATAAAGCAATATTTATATAATTAAACAAGTGTTTGAAAAAAACAGAATGAATTAAAACAATTAAACAAATAAAATTACACAAATTTGAAAAGCTTTACAAGTTGCAAAGTCCAGGGTTCTGTGTTTTAATATTTGAAAGGGATTCAATTATAATTATAATAGTTACAAAAAGGCAACTATTGTTTTGTGAATATAAAATTTAGTTAAACATTATTAGAACATTAAAAACTCTGGACTGTTGTAGAACATTGAATCTGTTAGATAACTTGGGATGATAAACTCTTAGAATAAAATATCAGAGGATGGCTTTATACAAAGGAGACTTTGAGAAAATCTCTTTAAATAAGGCATTAACATAGAGTCTTGTTAGAGATGCTAAACATATTTAATGAAACGGAACATAAACATTTTCTGTTAATATCCATACGCATAAAGCATTTATTTCTCTAATTTATCTGTATATTATCTTGCTTATTGATCACTTTTTCAAATAAATTAAAAACCTAAATGCAGAAACACTAGATGGTGTCAAATTTGATATATTAGGCTATATACAGGTGCATCTATATGTGTGTGTACTATGTATATTTATTATGTATATATAAAGACACATACATACAGCATATGTTTTGAAAATATTTACATGCATTTACATGTATATATTTATATTCATATAATTTATATTATATATAAATATATTTAATATATAAACGTAACATATTTTTCTTAAATATATACATGCATGTGTATGTATTTATATATAGGCTACATAATAAATATACACAGTACACACAAATATACTATGTAAACAAAAACCTTTATGTATACGTTAACCTATACATATGTATGATCAAACCTACACTATGCTCTCTGCCGTTCCTCTGTCAGAACTGTCGCAAATCTTGTAAGCCAATTATTAAACACAAAATAAGGATCTGGTAGAATAAACACAATTTTAAAATTAATAAAGAAGAGTGCACTAAATATAGAATTTAGATCTCATCATGTACAGACTGAAATCACTTAATTCTCCAGCACAGAAGGTGGCAGAATGCACCTAAAACGTTTATATTCGACCCGCCAGTAATCCACAGAAGAAGAAGAAGAAGAATCTAAAGGTGCGTCCCAAATCGCGTACTTATGCACTAGTGACTAGTCTATGACGTGTTTTAGTATAAATAATGCGAGTAGTGCGTTCACACTGAAAATTCCAAAACGAAAAAGTGCACTTTAAATACCCGGATGATGCACTTAAATAACCGAAAAAACAAAGTGTGGAATGATGGACACTTCATGCACTCAACTGTCTCAGCTTTAATTACTTAGCTAAGGGGGGAGGGGCTATCAGACTCTGATGCTGAGTTGCAAAATAACCTTATATAATTCATACACTACGTGATTGAGTACATAGTGCATAAGTACATAGCGTATGAGTGCATAGTGTATAGTGCATCATTTGGGACGCAGCTTAAGTCTCCTCCTGGAAACTTGCACCAGAAATCATCCACAGATAGAAATTAATTAAGCTTTAAGTAAAGCTGAATTCAAGAGAGTGTTATCAATTGAAATAAGTAAGTTATGGCAAAAGTTATGGAATAGTGGGTCAAAAGAAAGACATATTTTACAGATTAAGGAGTGTGTTGGAAATGAGAGGAAGTAAGAAAGATGTCATAATTTCGAGATTAAGAATTGGACATACGATACAGCATTAAACAATAGTCTTCATTGGGAAGCATAATCGGGAAAGTGTGACAAATGTGGAGAAACAGAAACAGTGAAGCATATTCTTTTTGAGTGTTCTGCATATGAAAGGGAGAGATTTCAATTAATTCAATAATTAATTAGATAATATTTATTTAAAAGTATTGTTAGGAAATGGGTCAAAGCAATCAAGAGTGCATGAAATATTATTTAAATACCTGAAAAACACAGGAACAATATATAGAATCTAGTTTTTTCCCCCTTCTTCCAAATCTATGCACACTCCACACTCCAGATCAGTAGGTGGCGGTAATGCACTTTTTTTTCCCACTGGCTTGCCAAACCGCCATAAAACACCAGAAGAAGAAGAACTTGCATAATTTTTTTATATAGCACAGGACTAGATAAAATAATATAATATAAAAGATATTCTGTTTCGGTTTGGAGTTTAAGGTGTTCAGTGTAGAGGACGGAGGAGCTAAACACGCAGCGCCAACCGATACCTGGACTCTTGATGGCTTTAGAGTTGAGACAGAACAACTAATATAATAAAAGAAAATCCTGATTGCATAATAGCACAGTAGGTGGCGATATGCGCAAAGATTGCAACTCACCATAAAACCAAGAAGAAGAAGAAGAACTCCTGCCAATAAGCTCAAAGAAATTTCAATTTACACAAAATAGGGAAGCATGAAAATGGAAGATGTGATAAATGTGGGAATCCAGAAACAGTAAAGCACATTCTTCTAGAATGTGATGCGTATGAAAGAGAAAGAAATCAACTTAATCATAAATTAGGTTTGATGGGATATGATAAAGTATCACTCAAGATATTACTAGGGAATAGACAAATGCAATCAAGAATTAAAGAAGAAGTGTTCAGTTATCTAAAAAAGACAGGAAATATGGAAAGAATATCAATTGTAATTGTGGTATTTTTTGTTTTCCTTTTTTTATTATTATTATTTTTTGTAAATATATATATACTTCTCTCTACCAAATCTGTTCACTTCACACTCCAGATCAGTAGGTGGCGGTAATGCACCTTTAAGTTGGTATATTATAGTGTAGTACAAATATACACTGATGGTTCAAAGGATCCAGACTCTGGGAAAACAGCTGTAGCAGTATATATTCCCCTATTTAAAATTAAAATGTCAAAAAGAACTTCAGATCATATTTCTGTATTTACTGCAGAACTAATAGCAATCTTACTAGCACTTCAGTGGATAGAAGAAATACAACCAACAAAGGCAGTGATATGCACAGATTCTCTTTCAGCACTAAACAGTTTGTCAAGTGGAAAATCATTAGCAAGACAAGACATGATGAAGTAATGCAGAGTCTTTGTGGAATAAGACAGTATGGACTTCTGGTAAAATTCGTGTGGGTACCATCACATATAGGTGTGAAAGGAAATGAGGAGGCTGATCATTTGGCTAAACAGGCATTAAATCATTCACAAATAAACATTGAAGTGGCATTAAGTAAAACAGAAATAAAAGCGATAATAGCGAAAGAAATACAGGAAATATGGCAGAATGAATGGAAAGAAGGAACAAAAGGTAGACATTTTCACTGCATACAAGAAAAAGTTGGTTCAGAGAGAAGATTTGGAAACAGGAAAGAGGACGTTATAATTGCAAGAATGCGTATTGGTCATGGTTTATTAAATCAGTGCTTACATAGAATAGGAAAACATGAAAATGGAAATTGTGACAAATGTGGGTTAACAGAAACAGTAGAACATGTACTTATAAAATGTGAGGCTTATGAAAGGGAACGTTTCCAACTTAGTGTATTTATTTAAAGGAAACAGGATTGATTAATAGGATTTAGGATACAGTTTTTTTTATATAATATAAAGGTAGCTCTTGTTTCTAAAGTTCCTATTCATTGTGCGCTTCACACTCCTTTCCAGTAGGTGGCGGGAATGCACCTTTTAAGTTGGTTTGCCAACCGCCATTAAATCCTAAAAGAAGAAGAAGAAGACTTGTAGTCCGCGTGTGGACAGCGCTGCACAGAAAAGACATTTGAACAGAAATCATGATTACACTATATAGTATCAAACAGACAGGGATAATTACTCGGTTTATAAAAGGATTGTACAAAAGTTACATTTCTGTCACCATTTACTCTCTCATTTCTTTCTTCTGCAGAACACAAAAGAAGGTATTTTGAATAGTTTTTCAACTTTTTGTCCATTAAATGAAAGAGAAATGTTTAATATATCTTGTCTGTCTATATATATATATATATATATATTAGTGCTGCTTGAAAGTTTGTGAACCCTTTATAATTTTTTTTCTATATTTCTGCATAAATATGACCCAAAAGCAAATAAATCAAATGGTCAAAGCAACCCCTGTATATATCTATATTAGCCACCATGAAAATTCCTCAAAAGAAAAAGAATGTTGTTTTAAAATCGCAATTTTATTTTAAAATGTTGAATATTGCCTTACTAAATGCTTGTGTGTTTGTTTGTGTGTGTTTTATCTGTAGGATCTGATAATGCTGCGTGATGGATTTGATATCCTGCTACCCAAGGTAACCTGATACTTTCTGATATTTACCATTTCACTCAAAACAACTGATGCTTATGAAGGTGCTTAGAGGTGCCATGTAAAAATAAAAGTTTTACTGCACAGTATGAATTCAGAAAAATGTAAAGAAATAAATTAATCTTTTCTTTTTGTTTGTTTTGACAAATAGATGTGTGTAAAACTGTTTTTAATTTTTTTAATTATTTCATTTTTTAATTGAATTTATTTTAAAAAATGTAGGTAAATGTAACATTGAATATGAAATAAATCACTTTTCAAATGGACAAATATGTTTAAAATATGATTTATTTACTTCAAGTTTAAAATTAATTAAATTCAATAATAAAATAATACATTAATCATTAGGCCTTTTTAATGCAAGTTTTACATTTAAAGAATATTGTGACCAACTACCTTTCTTAATCTAATTAAAAGAACACCAACTCTAGTCCTCCACTAGTGTTTTTTTTTATTATTATTTATATACAATTATAGTTTTTATTAGTATTTAGGTTTTTTTTTTTAAATACTTTGTTTTCATTTTTATTTTGGATTTTCAATATTACTATTTAGGTTTCAGTTATTTTTATTTCAGTTTTAGTTCTATTGTATTTATTTTATTTCCAGTGCATAATTACCATCCCCTTGCAGTACTCGTTCTCTCTCTTATAGCTGGCTCGTGTCATAGACAGACTTGCGAACTTTGCAGAGAAATACGCTGACCTGCCGACTTTAGGCTTCACCCACTATCAGTGAGTAAATTCAGAGTTCAGTGCATGAACCAGACCTGACACATAAACAGTTAGATATAATAGCATGTTTAGAGTTTGCATGTAAAATAACTTTTCTACCGTTTTCTTTTCTTCCTCCTTGTCTTCTGTTCTTGTCATCTCTGACACATCCTGCTCACCCTTCAACACTGACTCATATTGTAACCTGCATAACATTATTTTCCATGCTAATTTTTCCTATTCTTTCTAACTTTTCTTCATTTAAATAATATTAGGCTGGTTTTGGGTTTTATTGTCTCTCTCCTCGTTCCCTTCTTTTTCTCAGACCAGCTCAGCTGACTACAGTCGGGAAGCGTGCTTGTCTGTGGCTGCAGGATCTGGTCATGGACATGCGTAATCTTCAGCGTGCAAGAGAGGACCTGCGCTTCCGGGGCGTCAAAGGAACCACAGGCACTCAGGCCAGCTTCCTGCAGCTCTTCCAGGGGGATCACGAGAAGGTGAATGCAGCTGCATGAATGTTTTATGCCTCAACACTGACTTACTTCATACCTAGTGTGTACTTTGTGAAAATAGCCTAAGATGCTGATGACATGGCATTAAACAAATATATACTACTACTAGTGTGTACTTTGTCTCCAACATATATACTGTATACACTACCGTTCCAAAGTTTGTGGTCAATATATTTTTGAAATATATATTTAAAATAAGTAATACTTTTATTCAGCAAGGTTGCATTAAATCGATTAAAAGTGACAGTAAACACTTTTATACTGTTACAAAAAAAATTCTTTCAAATGAATACTGTTTATTTTGTTTTTTAAATTAAAAAATCCTGAAAAAAGCACATCAAGATTCCCACAAAAATATTAAACTGTGGAAAATTGAATAGGAAAGCAGTTTTAAACATTGACATTAATAAGAAATGCTTAAGAAATGATTTCTGAAGGATTGTGTGACACTAAATGAAGGGCTGAGGTTGCCTTCACAGCAGTAAATTACATTTTACAATATATTCAAATAGAAAACCGTTTAAATTGTAATAATATTTCATATTATTGCTGTTTTTACTCTTAATATTTTTTTTTGTATCAAATACATGCAGCCATGATGAGTATATGAGTCTTTTTTCATATGTATTAAAAAAAATACTGACCAACTTTGTTGTAATGAATACATTTTTAAGTTAAAATTAAACTCTTGCCATTGTTACCCCAGAACATCAGCATTGATTGTGTTTGGGTTTTATGTAGCTTTAAAACGGTTTGTGTAATGTGCAGTTTTGCTGGGAAAAATGTTAATGACTTCATATCTTTGTGGTTTATTCTATGGTTGAACTGGTGTTATTTCTTTATTTCTTGACTGTTTTCTCTGTTAGGTGGAGGAGTTGGATAGGAAGGTCACTGAGATGACTGGTTTTAAAAAGTACACTCTTCTTTACTTTCTGCATTCATTGTTTACTAAATGCTTCAGATATCTTCTAAATGCTTCATGTTATTCAATAGCGTGTTGTTGGCTAGAATCTTACATTATATATGACTATGTGCACATGGTTAATCAGTTCCTCCACTTATTTTCATACCAGATCATACCTGGTGACGGGTCAGACGTACAGTCGTAAGGTGGATATCGACTCGCTCTGTGTGCTGGCCAGCCTCGGAGCCACAGTACATAAGGTCAGACACAAATAATGAACTCAGATCAGCTTTATGCATTTATAAATGAGCTGCTGTAAAAGTCTACAATGATCACAGAACAGCAACAAACATCAGTTGTTTAATTAGAACATCCTCCTTTTCTCAATCAATTTTTGCTGTAGATTTGCACTGATATCCGTCTGTTGGCTAATCTGAAAGAAATCGAGGAGCCGTTTGAGAAAGAGCAGATTGGTGAGTTTGCATGCGAGACACAGAATTTCATGTAATCGTTTAATAAATCAACCTTTGATCCGTCATGTTTTTCTCTGTCTGCAGGTTCCAGTGCCATGCCGTACAAGAGAAACCCCATGCGTGCGGAGCGCTGCTGCAGTCTTGCTCGTCACCTGATGGCGCTGGTGTCAGACCCCCTGCAGACAGCAGCAGTGCAGTGGCTGGAAAGAACCCTGGACGACAGCGCTAACAGGCACTGTTACCATATCTGTGGTCTGACCATACGATGTGGCACTGCACTGTTTTGACTCTGTGTAGATGTAACTTTACACTCGCTCTTGCAGCAGCTTACTGTCTCACATTTTCTTTTTGTGTGTATTCAGGAGGATCTCATTGCCTGAGTCCTTCCTCACAGCGGACATCATCCTCAGCACTCTGCAGAACATCACTGAAGGACTGGTGGTGTATCCTAAGGTGTGTGTGTGTCTGTCTCAGTAAAAAAATCTCTTCAAAACAAATATTTTAAAGGTTTTATTGAGACCGTAATTAGGGCTGCACGATTAATCGAATGCGACTGTCATGTGCATTTTGTAAGTAAAGCCGGTTCTGTAATCAGCAGGACTTCTGTCGAATCGTGATCTCGATTCCATTTCGATTTATCATGCAGCCCTAACCGTAATTGGTGTATTTTAATCAAATGAACTACATGATACACTGATTACTTGGTCAAATAAATTTAGCATAATTAATTGCATACACAACTGTTAAAAATATAAATTTTTTAAATATTAAAAAAAAGTCTCTTATGTTCTCCAAGGCTGTATTTATTTGACCAAAATACATTAAAAAGTAATATTGTGAAATATTATTACAATTTAAAGTGTTTTCTATTTTGATATTTTAAAATGTAATTTATTTCTGTGATGATAGTTGAATTTTCAGCATCATTACTGCAGTCTTCAGTGGCACATGATCCTTCAGAAATTATTCTAATCTGATGAATAAGTGCACAAGAAACATTTTATTTTTATTATTGTTGAAAACAGTTGTGCTGCTTAATATGATTATGGAAACTATCATACATTTGAACATTCTTTGATGAATATAAAGTTTCAAAAGAACAACATTTAATTGAAATTTAATCTTTTGAAACATTATAAATGTCTTCAGTTAGTACATTCAAAAACTTTACATTAGACAATTTATTAAATATATGTATTTTTTTCATTCATTCATTTTTATTTATAGGCACCTTTCATGACAATCAAGGTCACCTTACAAATCTCCATTAACATCAATGTAACAACAGCAAACTACAAAATACAATAAAACACTAAGAATAAGTAATTTTATATTACTTTCATAAATCACATTAAATTGACAACACTGCTTATTTGACTTTTTTTTTAATTTTTATAGTTTTTTTCTCTCTTTTTGTAGGTGATTGAGAGGCATATCCGTCATGAGCTGCCCTTCATGGCTACTGAAAACATCATCATGGCCATGGTGAAGGCTGGAGGAAACAGACAGGTGATTAATGAATAAGAAAAATCTTGTCTTGTAATTAAAGGTCCCCTGAAATGCTTAGAAACACGCAGCGTTACTCTGTGTTGACGTCATTTTAACTGAAACAGGAAGACAGGGTGGGACATATCAAGCAGCCCCGCCCCTTTTTTTAAATAGCCAATAGCGTTAGTTTATATCACAGCTTGGGCTAGAGCCGCTGAGCTCTGTAAAGCCGCATTTGACAGGGTATGCCAGCCACAATCTAATCCATATTGCTATAAAATATAGCATTCTGTGTAGAATTCAAATAGCTCCGATACATTTTGTGGTCTGCGCATGTGATCCGCTCTGTGCTATCGTGTCTCTGGACCGGAGCAGAGTGTGTGTGCAGTGCGGTGGTTAGCGTGACACAGCGCGAAACCAGACTTCTTTTTTTCCTCAATGGAAAGCATATTTACACTGTTTGAATCGTTCCCGGTCCCCTATATAGTTCCCTGTCCCCATACACTGTACAGAAAATACTAATTCTGT